TATCAAACACACCTACACAGGCCTCAAATCAATGCGATTTTATACGACATTATTACAATTGTGTTTTATAATAAGATTTATATTCATATTTAAGAGTGTATGATCACTTGTGTTTTTGTTAGTACATTAAAACTTTATTTGGGACGATATTTTTACTATTTATTAAAACAACTTTTTACTATAAAATTTTTAAATTTTTTACTACTAAGCTGCTTAAAAAAAACATAAAAAAACCGTACCAAAACAAGCCTAAAGTTAGGACTTAATTCCAATCATCAACACTCAATGGGATCCAGACAATTCTCCTGTCCGAACTCTACATGTAATAATCTCCCCCTCTATGTTTCTTCATAGGACATTAATTAAACTTTAACTGAATAATTTCCATCTTCTTGCTCGGCAAGCTGTCGATACTTACAAATGTTAGCCAAATCCATGAGAACAACTAAAGTATTATTGATTTCCATTTTGAGTATTTCAGTAGCATCTTGGTGTTGTCGGATGTAACCATTAAATCTGTCATTGTTGACCAGTGAAAGCCTGCAGATCTTTCAAATGGTTTAGAAAATAAACTAAACTAGGCTTGCATGAACTATATTGTTAGTATTGCTGTACAGATTGGACATATTCTTACTCGCTGGACAAAGCCTACAGATCTTTTCTCCATGTTTCTGTTCAGTTGTTCTTTATGCTCCATAATCGACACCGTAGGAGGGGAATCATCAATATTTTAACTTCAACGGCATTGAAGGCACCTCGATCTAATTCAAGATTACAAACCATAATTATCAAATGAAAATAAACATTAACAATAAAATAATCACTGTATAATAATTATTTAAACAAATAAGAAAACCTGACAAATTGTTCTAATAATCCCAATTACTCTTAAGCTATATCTTTTGAATTACACAACAATGGGAAATTCCCAGACTGGGGAGCATGATTTAAATAAAAATAAGTATGTGCATATAGTTATTACTTATTACAATAAGTATGTGTATAACATGAATTTTACTAAATAACATGTTCTTGAATAATGATTGAAAGCAATTGATAGATAATGATCCGAACAACACAACTAATAAGCTAGCTTATGAGTTGAATTACTATATATGAAAGATTTAAATGATAATATTTGGTTACCTGTATTCATTATTTCCCTTCATCTCTTTCCTGCCTACGTATTGCATGTTGGTCATTAATCTTGAACAAGATGTTGATGCTTAGATCATCACCATGTTTTGCTTCCTCTGCCAACCACAGCTCTGGCTGAAACTTTACATTTTATATCAAGCAAATAAAACAAATGTAAAGTTCACTTCTGGTATTTTTTTTTTTCAATTCCCACACTTATTAAGATTGACATAAGGAATGTGAACTACCTTTGCCAATCAGAACCGACAAACTTTCGGTAGCGCTCCTACAAGTCTGGATGGCAGTAGAGTATTGATAGAGATTTCAAGTAGGGAGGGAGGTCTGGTAATTCCTGCCATTCCCTTCCTTCATAAATAATATATATATAGATATAGCATAAAGGGGTGAGAACTTCTTCATCATAAATAGGACTAGCATAGGCAATTTTAAAGCAAAAAAATGA